TTAGAGATATAAACCTTATAAACAGTTATAACCACTATAAGTAGCACGATGACCTTAGGACTTAATTATAATGGACTTCATAACTAAGCTACCTTTGTCAGAAGAACCCTTAACTAGAATCTTTTATAACAGTATTATAGTTATTATTAATTAACTTATGAAATTTTCCTACTATCTACCCTATAGAGAAGCAATAGATACAGAAGAACTTTCTTATGTTTTTTACTGATATATTATTAGTGTATATAGGTTACCTATAGAAATCCTTTTAGATAGAGGACCTATATTCACAGTAATATTTTGGTAATTACTTATGGCACAACTTGGACTAAACTACTAACTTATAATAGTATTTTAACTATAAGTCGATAGATAAATAGAATAAATAAACTAAGTACTTAAATAGTACCTATAGTATTATATTAACTATAAATAAAATAATTAGGTTAAGAAACTACTAATAGCCTAACTTGCCTATAATACTGCATATAATAAAAGCATAAAGCTTATACTAGCTTATACTAATTTTAGATTTATATTAAATGCATACTATAATATATAATAAGAAAAATTAGTTAACCTAGCTGCTATACTTAAAAGTAATAATCTTAAGAATCTATATAAAGAAATAAAAATAAAACTTGAATTTATTAGAAAACGCATAAAAAACTATTATAATTTAAAACAGTTAAAGGGACTAACCTTTTCGGAGGGAGATATAGTCTACCTAGCTATAAAAAACATTAAAACAGACCAACTAATATATAAATTAGATTATAAATTTATTAGACCTTATAAAGTATTATAAAAAATTTTAGAAAATAACTATAAATTAGACCTACTATTAAAAGTTAGGCTCTATTTAGTCTTTTATGTTTTATTACTTAAATTAGTAGTAGATATAATATAAGTTAAAATAAGTAATAAACTATAAGAAATTTTAGGACTAGAAGTCTATAAAGCAGAAGTAATTAGGAAAATAGATATAATTAATAGATAAAGGATATACCTGGTTAAATAGAAAAACTACCTAGAAAGTAAAAATATATAAGAACCTCTAAAATACCTTACTAATGCCTAGTAACTCCTAAAGAACTTTTATTAATGTTGAATAAAGGAGAAGCATTAAGAAAATTATTACCTAAACCTAAGGTAGATTAATTAATATTATTAGGAATGTAGTCTACTTAAAGATCCTGAAGTAATATATCCTTATATATATCTAAACTAGATAAGATTACATCTTACTAATCTACCTCCTAAAGACTATAATAAGTAGCCTTAGAATGTTTTTCTTTTATATAATTGTAAATTTTATAAATTCTTGATAAATGACTAGCAGCTAGAGCTAAATAAGACTGTAATGCTGCTATTTCCTTATAAAGCCTAAGAAGATCCTTACTTGCCTTATCTTTATTATTCTCTAGTTTTTTTTCTTACTTTATTAAAGTTATAACTAGTAAAAATTAGTATAATTAATAAAATAATATATAATAAATATATAAGATGATGCGATATGAGTACTATTGTAAGACTTCTTGGCCTAAATATACTTACTATAGTAAGCAGAATTAGCAGATATTAAGTACTTCTTGCCTGCCTAAAAATAATAAGTATAAGGTATATTGGCCTCTTTGTTGGTAAACTTAACGGAAAGCGCAAGAGTTTGGATTTTATAATCTTTATGAGATAACTGTTTAGATATATAGTTAGATATCACGGGATATAATAATAAAAGGTTTAAGTTAAACCCTACTAAAAGAAGACTGATGTTAGTTAGAATAATAGGCCTTAAGGGCAAGACCACCGGAGGGGAAAGATCGTGTTATAATCCCAGCGGTTATATCACATATACCCTATAATTTTCCCTATATAACTAACTAATCAGGGAAGGACTAATAATTACCAGACCAATAGTGCTCTAGGATTGCATTATTCTAGGACTAACGATAACCTTATGTCGTATTACTCCTATATAACTATTATTAAGTATATAGAATATATTTATTGCACTTTTATAGATTTTAGCTTACCAGTTATTCATAAAACTTCTTTATATTAATTAAGCCTAACATGCATTGAATCTACTATTAAGAGACGTGATACTTCGATAAGCTTAGTTATACGCCCTATGCAATCTGCCAACAATAAACCTAGCACGGCTCAGTTTATCCACAGTTAGACCTAACCGTCACAGGCTATTGCAGGGTAAAGAAGGGGAAGTAAGGGAGAAAAAAGGAGGAAAAAGGCAAATTAAGAAAAGAAGGTTTTAGTATTTAAGGAAAAATTATAAATATTAGTAGACTAAGGCTAGCTTAGTGTTATAACCCTAGCGGTTATATTATATATACCCTATAAAAACTCATATAAGGCATTAACCCCTTAACGGCTACGGGCTAATCAGAGCTAGATCACCTTATAAATAGGATTATAATACTCTAGGAACTACTATAATCCAGGATTATTATAATCTAATTACCTTAATAATCCCCTTAGATTACTCCTAGTATATACATTATATTTATTAGCACTTCTATAGATTTAGCTTACTAACTATTAATAAGACTTCTTTATATTAATAAGCCTAATATATATTACCTAATTATTAAGAGATATAATAACTAACCTGCTTAGTATTAATGCCTTATACTATTTATAAATATAAACCTAGTATAAACTAATTTCCCTATTTAAAACCATACTTATTATACTTAGTAGGTTAGTAATAGATTAGATTAGGTTATAAGATAATATAGTAGGAGAAATATAAGTTAAGGATAAATATAGTTAAATAATACTTAGTTAATAATAACGTGGTTGATAGGCATGCTGACCGGACAAGTATGCTGACCAGAAATCTCAACCATTTGGCTTTATATTGGTATAAAACCACCACAAACTAGCTAATTAATTAAAACTATTCGCTATACTCTTCCCCAGATATCTCAATAACTACCTGACAGGTCCTTGCATTATGTCCGGCC